GGCATATCGTTCCCGGTGCGGAATGGCCATGGGATTGGAGGGCGATACTCCTGGGATACTACCCGCAAATTCGGGAGAATATCTTCGAAGAGAGCCTGGTAAGAAGGAGTGTCGTATGGACTATATATGGTGGAAGAGATGTATCCTCGAGACAGAAGGAGCACAGGTGGAAGACAGAGAAGTTATGGAACAGATCAGGACCCTATTCCAACACGAAATCGCGTCCCAATTGAAGGCTGTCAAAGACAAGCTTGACCAAATGCACAACTGGGGGGACATAGACAAAGCCATCTCTGGCTTTGGCAAGAAATGGCTGGGAAAGGAAAGGGAGGGATGGGTGGCCGAGGTAAAGTGGTCTAGGAGTGATCTGGCGGAGAAGGGGCCACAGGAGGAACCCGGGTTAGAGATAGAAAGGGATTACCGGCTGGTCTTCCATGATTGGACCAATGTAGACCCGGGTGAAGTATTAAGGGCAGCTCAGGACTTCGCGGACCCCTTCCCCCCCCACCCACTCTCCTTAACAGAAATTCTGCTGCCTGCATAAGCCAAGGGATCCAGCCGGTGGCCGTTTTTCTATTCTTTTGCTCATCCCCCTCTTAGAAATCACCGACAGTCTTCAACTGTCTTAATTCAGTTCCCCTCTCTGTACTTCTCAAAAGACCCCAGCTGAAGAGTAGAGGGGAGATGGGACGCTGGACCCGGTTTCCAGCACTCTGGCATCACTTTCATTCAGGTACAAGATAGCAAAGGTCTTCTTCAGTATTCTTCTGTACTTCTCAAAGTGATTCTGGCTGATTTTAGTTGATTGTACTACAGCCTGTCTTAGGGGTTTCAGCCTTTCAAACGTATGCTACTGCAAAGTACAATGGGCGTCAGGAGGATAGCTGGTGGATGGCAGAGGCTAAGGGGGGGAGGGAGAACCTACTGGTGCCCCCCGGTGCCCCCCCCTCCAATACCCAACCCTGCTGCAGGCGAGGTAGGGAAGAGTAGAGTGGATATGGGATGCTGGACCCGGTTTCCAGCACTCTGGCGTCACTCTCATTATGGCACTGTGCAGCAAGATGTATTTGGGACGCTGGACCCGGTTTCCAGCAGGTGACGCTCCCCACCAATAGATGGAGCGGCCCGCTAGGCAAAGCCTCAATCCCGGTGGTTCTCTTACCACCACCAGGATAGTGGTCTTGCACAAAGGGCCTTGAAAAAGAAAAAAAAAAGAGAAAAAATGAAAGGCACAAATTCAATTTGATAAATGGTCCTTTGAAATCCGCCGCCGACGATCTATTGGATCCATAAAAGAAGCATCACCCTAAATTGTCAGGGTTTGAACCTCTGATCTGTTAAACCGCTGCAGTACTTCCGAAAGTGGTGCCCCTTAACAAGCCACGATTTTAGGAAACGTATGGGCCACTACAGGAGCGTCCAAATTCATCCGAGTACAAACGTTTCTACTCTATTGTTGTCCGCAGCCAATAGCTGGGCCAAGTACTGCTGGTTTAATTAGCAGTTATACTTGTGTACCTTCTGGCCAGCAGGCTGAGCAGGGGAGAGGTCCCACTTCACCGGATTGTTGGTTCCTGGCCACTGACCCTCAGAATCAAGGGTCAGAAGTGGAGAAAAGGGGTATTAAAGTGGGGCCTCGGCGCAGGGCAAGTACTAGGGGCTTCAACGTCCCGGTGCAATTTATGGAGAATAGGGGTAAGTGGGGCCCTTTCATTCTTGAGTGGCAATTTAGGGCATATGCAAAGTAGGAATCTGTAGGACCTCCTTTTGTCTTGTATTTTTATGAAATGAAAGAAAAACGAAAAAAAAAAACTTTGTCAAATGAATCTGATCATAGGGATAATTTGCAAAATACCCCTGTAAGTTGAGATATGTGCCAAAATGCCCCTAAAAGATGTGGGTAGAGCGGGACCTAATTTTCCCCTGTCAGGCGCATGTGCAAATTTGCAATCTGGACCACGTCGCTGGGGCCTGGGCCTTCTCTCTCTCTCTCTCTCTCTCTCTCTCTCTCTCTCTCTCTCTCTCTCTCTGTGTGTGTGTGTGTGTGTGTG